ATACAAACGAATTATATACACAAATTTTAGCATTTTCGTAAGTTAATGTTCTTTTGGATCCGATGAGATAGACCTTGTAGCTCACAACCGTATTGTAATCTTGTTTTTTTGTTTTTAATACCAAAATCACTCTAATCATAAGTGCTACTCAATGTAGTAGTATTAGTTTTTGAAATTTTGTTAACTGGAGAAGCCAAAATGTATTACTTAATCGTATTTTGATGGAAATATTTTATTGATTCCCACAATGTTTTGTCGGAGTCGGTTTTACTGAGTTTAGAAGGTCACAGTAAAATAAAACTGAAAAAGTACAAATGTAACATGTAATTTATGAGGAGAAACATAGATTGGATCTATGGCTCTCGCGCTAAATCTTGAAACTTTTTTTGATTCCCGCCTAAAAAATTCCCCAGAACCCCTAATTAAGTTTTTTTTTTTGTATAGCCGCTTTAACATTTATTCGACCATTTTTGTCTTTTTCTGGAATCGATCGCCGCCGCGAGAGTTGACATTGTTCCGGTGCAGATCCATCCTCGCTCCGGTACTCTCTCTAGTATCTCTATTGGTATGTTTGAGGCTTTTTTAGATCTGGGTTTTGATTTTCCCGTTGAATTCGGCGGTATTACGAACGATTTACTTTCATCCAGTTTGGTTCTTTGAGTGAGGATTTGCAATTGCAGAGTTTTCATTTTGTGTTTGGGCATGCCAGATGTTTGACGAATTGCTTGAATTAGATGAACAAAGTGAAGTAGACAAGTGAAGCCGAAGATTAGCCTCATGTACGGAAGAAAAGGGTATCAGCTGGTGAAAGATTTCGCTAGCGGAGAGAAAGGGCAGCTTAAACCTTTCAATGTAAGTCCTTCAAGCTCCTATCTAGGCAATTGTACTAATGTTTTGTGGAATTTCTAGTCCTGGGTTTGATTGTCACTGCTTCAATTACAAGTATTATCTTGAACAGATCGATGGGTGAAGCCCTTTTTATTATCGTGATTAGCTAAGCAATGAAGTTCAGGTTTTTGCAAAGAAATTTACGAAGTCTTGAGTTGGATATTGAGGTTTTTTGATGCTGGTGCTTGTGTGGTCGGTTTTGATTTTTAATATTCCCCTTGCTCTCAGATTCATATCTGGAGTGGCTTTAGTCACTAGATCACTACTTTTTTCTTTTAACTTGGAGATATATTTCCACAGAGCAAGCTTTTTGACGAGGCTGTCGAAGAATGCGACCAGAATCACCATCTTATCCAGTCATTGATAAGGTATTTCTCATTTTTATATATACGCCCTGGTTAATTCATCAGAGACGACTTACTTCTGACTATCGAGGTTTGATGGTTACACTTACAGGAAAATGCAACAAGAAGGTCTGGATGTTCAAAACAATAGAAACGCAGACCATTATGGAGCCTTAATTCATCACCTTTCTTTGATCCGCAACAAGCGTTGCCTCATGGCTTATGTGTGAGAACCAGTTTCGCCATAAAGAAAAATAAATCAGTACACACAGTTTGTAAATGTACTTGCAATTTGTGTTGCTATGCAGGTACAACCGAGCAGAAATTGTGCGTGATTTGGCGTGGAGAGTAGGACTTGAACTTCTCGACCTCCCCTCTGAAATCCAAGAGAAGCTCACTACACTAGAGAAGGAGTACTTCAAGAACCATTCGGTAGCTATAAAATCGTACATGGGAAAAGTAGGAATCGAGTTGAATGTCGTGAGTCCTCTTCCCACCACCCTTGCTTCCTGATATCAGAACATTAACTATTTGGATTGTTCATGTCCTTTTGATTCATTTCTTGAAGGATATGGTGCCTCCGAAAGACCCTTACATAAAGGTCAGAGTTTTGGATGATATCGATGACGGAATTGTGTTGGGTGACAAGATAACAAATTTTTCCCGTCACTCTATGCATTTTGTCAAACGAACTGATGCAGAACAATACATTGCTCGGGTTAGTTTTTTCATTATTCCTAAAACTGGAAAGACCCAAGCCAGTAAACTTATATCCCTTGTATAGTTGAGAAGCTTAAAGACTGATTCAGAGAGATGTAGATAGAACCTTGATTACAGCCTTTCCTAGCATGTTTAATGGAAAAGAAAATACTGCTTGAGATAAACCATAATTGAAAAAGGGTACTAAAGCTTCCCTGACAAATCTGAATAGCGATGCAAGTAGGAACTGTTGGGTTTAGAATTGACTTTCTAATTAATGTAAGATTTGAATTTTGTCACCTTGATACCCTTAACAGTACATAACGCCAAACCATTATCATAAAATGTGACGTTATTGGTTCATTGGTCTCCCATTAGTTTCAGACATTTTATGCTTTTCTTAAGTATGCAAAAGTTGTTTATTAACTGCAGTTTTCCATGCCAATTAGAAGGGTTCGTGTGTCCAATTCTTTGGATGAATTGAATTTTGATTGTAGAAAAGCGTTTCTAAAATATTGAATTTGTGATTGGGATATAACAGGGGCAAATGGAGGAGCTGACAGGTTGATTGATCTGACAGAAGCTGTAGTGAGCTCATGAGATTAAATCAAACGGTATGGGCTGTGATCAAAGAATGTAAGCTTACTTTAGCCTTGTATTATTTGTAAGAGATAAACATGGAACCTCACCCAATTCATGTACACAATGACTTTATTTTCCAAAGTTACTTTACTTCTCTCTGGTTGTTGCATAACATCACTAGGAACAAGGCGATGCGGAACCAATGAAGAAATCCTTCTAGGCTTCAATGTCGTCGCTTTTGTTACTCCCTCGGTTGTCTGTATATGTAAACCGCAAACTGAAAAATCCGAACTGTCCACAAAAAAGGAATAGGTCAAGATTAGCAAAACCGAAACTATCTATCTTAGGTCATTTGCATATTTCATGAAATGGTTTCGACTTCACCATCTGTATCTCAACCATGAAGGCTTTCTCAGAACTTGGAGGGTTTCTTGCGTTTTCTCAGAGAGAGGATAGATAGTGTATTGAAGCAAATCAATCTATTTTGACTTGCGTTTAAATTGTCTTCTTCTTGCTCTCTTGCCTGTTTACCACTACTTGAGCATTTACAATTCAAAAGCAAAATTTCATTTTTTTATATATATATATAAAAAATTACTTACTACTTTTGGTGTTGACCAAAAAGAACGTGGGGTTAACAAAATAAAACATTTTACTGCATAATTAATTAATCGGGTTTTTTTGTCTTTTCTTTCCCCATCATCTTTCTCTCAATTTTTCTTTCCCTCTGTTACGAACCCTTTGAAATTTTTGTCATCAAAATTTTGCGGCGAAATCGAATGGCTCTTTCCAAGAAATGGGCTTCGTTAATCTCCGTTATCGCTTCTTCTCTCTTTGCTTTCATCATCGTCTTCCAGATTCCTCTCTTCAGGTAACCCATTTCTCTGGATTCTAACGCAGAAAAAAAAAACCGTAATGGAAGAAAACAAATGCACAAGTTGAAATTCGTGGAAAATCATATCAAACAAACTGCTTGTGGCATTAGGGTTTTCTCTGGACCCTGACACAAACAAATTGGATTTTAGATTCGTAAATAGCATAATTTTTTGATTGAAGAAATGTTCGTAGACTATTCCTTTTGTTACAGGCATTGCGGTTTTGTTTGTGAGTACATCTTCTCTTCTCTGTTAAGATGTTTCTCTTACATTTTGGGTTGCAGAGTACCGTGCAGGAACAAGAGCTGTGAAACACCATTAGAGGTAATGTCTTGTCACTTGATTGGAAGTGAACTCATTCCTTCATATGTTATCAAGACACTCCTTTATCCTGGTGCTATTGCCAAGTCTCTTATTGCTGGCTCTGGACTCCCCAACTACCACAAATTGCTCAAGATATACGGTTTCAACGAGATGTATAGATCCTCCTTTTCGACCGATATTCATCATCTAGAGGTTTGCTTTGCTTCTTCCTCTCTTTGATTCTCTCCATCTTTAGTGTTGTCTGTATCATCATCATCCAACAATGTCATGAGGTTCACCAGGTGTTTGCTGGGAGTTGTTTATGTCTACTTGGAGCTTTACTTAGCTTGTTCAAACCAAGAAGGATAAGCTTCATTGGAACGCTTTTGATATATTGGGGTCTTATCAGAGAGATTGTTCTATTGGACTCAGCTCATGGTTGGATAAGCTCGCAAAGAAACTCTGTTCGTGTCTACCTTACCCTGTTTCTCGCATCGCTTTCTGCATTTCTCTCCATACGAAGCGATGTCAGGAAGATCATCAGGTGTTGCAAATCTCTCTTACTCACAAAAGAAGACTAAGGCTTCCGCTTCACCAGCTTAGAGTCCAAGAGGTGGTTCACTAGTACTTTAGACAAGAGAGAATGGTAATAGCTTCTGTAAGTTGGAACCTATACATTCAATTTTGGTGTGTAACCAGTTTTTCATCATGAATGTGCAATTAAAATTCCTGTTTTTACAATCTCATAGTATTCATTATGAATGTTTAATTGTACATACATATCATCATCTCTTGGAAAAAGCTAATCTTCCATAACAAAAGAACCCAATACTGCTACAGATGAATAAACTAAGAAAACATGTCTGAATATGATACAGTTGTAAGAAACAAAATGTTCCATACATTAAAATACACAAAGAGGAAGGCATATGCCTTTAATCGGAGATCTTTCTAGAATCCTCTTCTGCTTCGACTCCCAGAACCCTGAACCAGACGCGATGGTCCTCCGCTCGTCTCTGCTCCTTTAAGTTTCTGTGCTTCCAGAACCTCAGCTTCTTCCATCAACATTGCTAACTGCAGACAACACATAACAGGCTTCAGACCCTATCTTGAGACACAATATCCATGAGAGAGCGCTTTATGAGAAGAAACATACCCGGATCTTGTTCTCTCTCACCCTATCTTGAAGTGCGTTAATGGCGGGACTCAAGCTGCAAAAGAATGAAACCCATGTATGCAGAACACGCCGAATGATAAACCCACGTATCAAATGATTTAACACGCTTCACTAACCAGTATTCAATCAGCTTGCACATGGAAGCCTGATATGTCGATGTGTTGTGAATGAAAGTGAGAGGATGTACTTTCCCGGCTCTAAAGAAGAAACATAATGAGCTTTTGCACTAAATCTCTATGATAAGGTAGGTATGAATACGGTGTATAAAAGATATTGAATCTAAAACCTTGTGCTTTGCAGGAGAGATTGGTGGTACGCTGCGCTTTCCTCCTCGTAGAGTACTCGTTGCAGATCCTTAAAAGATGCTAAAGGTGAATTGAGTTGAAGAAGGGATGAAGTCGGCAAAACATGAAGTGGGACTTCTTTTCTAACATACCCCACACCGCTACACATGAAATCTTCAGCATAAGTAATTACGCAAATGAACGGAGCAATGTTCCATAAGCCCAAGAGCGCATGTTGAGAAATACCTGGTTTCCAAGTTTGAACGGAACATCGCCTCTTGCATGCTTTCAGACATGTCCATTGAGTCAATTTCTATAGCTGAGCTGTAATTTCCACTTGTTCCACCTCTCCTGGTGCTGTTGGCCGCAGTATTGTTGACAAAGAAAGCCCCAAAATCTGATACTCGTCCTCCACCCTACTCAGAAATACACACATACAAGGCTCAAACATCCTCTATTTATATCAACCAATGGTTAGTGAGAATGCCAATGATTGTCTCAAGAATTTGGAAAATGAGTTATACTGTGCACAAGTTATAATGTGACAACTTTCATTAAGGTCGAGTAAAATAGGCAAAAGAGAGAGAGAGTGCCTTTGAACCTTTGATCCGGAAGTTGTAGCTGTATCACTTGTGGCATGCTCAGGATTGTCACCCCGAGCAGAAGAGGATCTCTGGTATGCCGAGTCTGAAGAACTTACTGACGTTTCTAAATCAATGATAGAATCTTTATTTGCAAGTACCAGGCTCATTGATGTAGGAGTACTATTCGGCTTTCCATCAGAGGACTGGAAAGCGATAACTTGGATTCGACCAACCTGGAAACATCAACGTGTCCAAGCTGAGAAGAACATTTCTTGAAATGTTTCAACTTCCTAAATACACTCATAGCAAGTACTAACCTTGTTTGCATCTTCACTAAAACAGGAAAATATGAGGCCAATAAACCCAGAATCTAAAAGCTGATACATTGCCTGTGTCCGTACATCTGAAACAAAAACAGGACATAGATATGAAAAACAAGATTAAACCATATGCAACTACTCAACCATAGGTAACAAATGCTTTGATCACTAATACTTCCTAAAGTCACTACAACGATGACACGTACCGACATGGGAAGGAAGAACGGTAATATGAGGATGGGAGTGATACCATCCTATCACCCGTGTTGTTCTGCCCGTTGATATGGTCATTTTGTGTCGAGATAAGTTAAGGAAAAATTACCAAACACTCTTTGTTTTTAATCAAACCATCTCTATCATACGCAAGAAACACTACACATAGATTATATGATCAATCTGTGACACAGAAAACGAAAAGTAGAAAATCTTTTCAAGGATATATCAGCCTGAGCTGAAGCAGCAGCCAATTGTTCAGGATTGGTTTCAACTCGATCCTTTTGCCGATCAGACCGTGACTGAGGCGATGCTCCCCATATAAGAGCTGTGGCACTTCCGTTTTTCGAGTACTAATCAAATGTCCAAAACCACAGTGAAGAATGAGAAACACAAAAATAAAATTCAAACTCAGTGATTGATTAATTGATTATCTAGGAATTTTCCAAGCCTTACATACAATCTAACACAGAGATTACAGAGACAATTCCAAAAATGTGAATTGAATTATCGAACTTTGAGAACATTCATTTAAACTACAGTCGTAAACCAATATTCTAAAGCAATATCTAATCCAAAATACCATCTACCACAGAGATTACAGAGGAAAATTCCAGAATTTTGGACTGAATTATCGAAGAATTCATTGAAACTACAGTTGTAACCCAAGAATCTGAAAGCAATATCGAATCCAGCGAAATTGAGAAGAAGAGACAAAAGGGCATACAAATCCGAAGATAAAAAGAGTAAAAGAAACGAAAAAATCGAGAATTGAAGTAGTCGGAGGAACCTCGATGTCGCCGAGAAGAAGACCCATGATTTCTTCGGTCTCGGTGGACAATGCATGAGTGAGACAAGTCAACCAGACATCCTCGGACATATTAACACATGTCAGAGACATTATTACTTCACCAAAAAACAGATCTTTCGATAACTTTTTTCCCAGATTTTAATTTGCTTCTTCTTCGAATTCGCGTTATTGTCTATCTGAGATTTATCGAAGAAGAAGGTACATTCATGTGTTGGTGGAACTTGTAACAAGGAAGGATTCGTATATGGGGCTTATATGATACATGCGGTGTACGATGTTCCCACTCAAATATGGGCCTCGTAATGGGCCTTTCTTTAAGTTCACGGTTTACAATTCTTTTTTTCTCTACTTCACGAGCCCAAATGACTCCAAGAACAATATATTTTTCTTTCCTAATTTCATCTCTTTTACAAAGAAAGGCAACATAATAATTTACCGTGTAGTGATTAG